GAAGAAAAGCCCAGGGTTGCTGAGAATGGATTATTTGTATTAATGATAGAATATATAAATAAAGAACAACATTGAATATCAACAGAAAATTTTATTTTAACACTCTTAAACTGAAACAAAGTTATGTAACTCAACAGTAAAACATGGATGATAGATGATATTCATCGAATGCAAAACATTATATCCTTTTGTAGGAAAAACAGTAATTCATTAACAGAAAATAAACTTCAGACTACTCAAGCTTAGCATTCTTTAGATCCCTTAAAAAGTGATATCAAGGATAACATAATCCAAGAAGCCATTTTTTAATCTTTTTAAAATCAAAAAACATCCAGGCTTGTTACGAAAAGGTCTAATAGTATAGATTCTAATATCTCATTCGAATCATGTTCATTGACATCAATGTTGGTAAGACATCCCATATTATCATGAAACAATTTTACATTTTCGGTAAAATCTTTTAACCCAATACACAAAACTAATCTTTTAGTAGTCTCAGTATTCTTATTGCACTTAGGGCAGTACTCCTCATCTAAAACTGTAATAACAGCTGTTTTACAGATTTTACAAGCTACGTATATRTCACAGTCTGCAYTTTCTATTTGTGTCTCAACTTGTACTTCTTCTCCARCAGCAATATTGGACAGCTGGGTTATTGGAACTTTACTGTAAGTTCCAATATCTAAACGCYGTTTGGCAGTTGAAACTGGAGTTGTACATGGGTTATCTTTGAACCATGTCTTAAGTTTTTCACTTCGAGGAGAAGTATTATCTTCCCTTATATTTGTAACTGAAATWGTTGCTTTGTTTTTAAATGACTTGACAGGGGAATTTGTTATTTCTACSACTGGGTGTCCCTCTAAGCTAAACGAAGTTGCTACTTTACCCCACAGGGTTGCTGTTGTCTCCTTATTGCTATCATCTGCTATTATTATTTCTCTCTTCATTACAGTTTTTCCTTGTTGAGTTGTTTGCGGGGTTGGATTGTCATAAGATTTGACTATTCCTATGACATTTACTCTTTGACTTAGAGCTTGATTCAGACTATCTATTGTACAATAAGGAGTATCAGGTGCCTCAATATCATCATCAGATATTTTTATCTTTACACCCCCTGAAAGAATAATTTCAATGGGCAGAGACCCTTGTTTTTGAAACTGTGGCTTAATCTTTCCTACCGATACTCCTGACATCTCATAAGTACTATTCAATGATAGCTTATTATTAAAGAAAGAAGCTACAATTGTGGACATAAATGTTGACAATTTTTAAGAACGCACGGAATTTCGAACATTCTTCGTCGATAAAACCTTACTCGTGCCCCCCCTTCCCCCAATACAATGTTGTGTGGCWTTCTTTTMATTGKTTGTYCATTCATTAACCCCTGCATGCAACATTGATGCGGGAGGGGAGGGAGGGAAGCGGAATATTTTCAGTTTATGCACACGATACAGTATTTGTAATGCCCAAGCGAAAAATTGTCAAGTATTTATGTCCAAGATTGTAGGTTGTTCCAGGCTATACACCTACAAAATGATCCACCATCACACAAATCTCTCCAAAATACTACCAGTGGATACATTCTTAAGGATTTTGATTTGATTTTGATTGATGTTATCTTGACCTTAATTGTCACAGTGCTTGAGTTGTTATCAACATCTATAGAAGACAGCTCTAAAAAAAATAATAGAGCAATTTCACAAACCCATTTTCAGCATGTAGAAGAGCTTCCGCGTGAATTAGGCAAGAGAGTGACAAATTTATAAACTAATAGGAACTATCATACCATCAGCAACTCTCTTAATACTTTTAAATACACTTGGCAATTTTTTGCTTATAGACATAAATAAACCATATTGTGTCTCATTCATGCCTAATCAATATATCATACTAATTCACTTGTTAGCTCTCACTGACATGCTACAACCGGACTCATATCACTCTTATATGGAGGATACTTAAAGATGTCATAATTTTTTTTTTCTAGTAGTGATGAAGTGTTTATGAACTGCTTTTGGTTCCAAATTTCCTGATTAGTAATTAATGATCTATAAAACAACTTGGCATATCCATATTTAGTGACATGCATGACCTTCTATCACATAAAATGCAGTTCTAGAACTCATTAATAATAATGAGCTATTAGCCTAATGAGCATCAAACTATTGGGTCATATGATGGGACTTCCCGATAAAGCACTGATGTTCTATTTATTATTTGTATATAAGATATATAGAACTGATGTTCAAGTTCATCGTTGCTTTATCGCAACCCAACACTAGCAAAGGTATCAGTTTAAATGATGGATCATAGATCTTTGCTAGGTTTTAAATCAGTCTGAATCAATGTACGTGCACTTTACCACAGACTAGCCATTCTTCTGTGTGGGATCAAAATTCATTGTGGAACAATGCACATTCTCTAGATGTTTAATATGCATTATAGTGCAATAAACATATGTTATTTTATGRATGGAAGCTACTGACTTTAATTTAGCTCTACGAACAAGCTGTGAACGGTGATGCAGCTTAACAACTGCTGTAAGTTTGATCAATTTCAATTTCAGAGCTTCTGCTGTTATTTTAAATCAAAATGGATGTTGTTTAAGGAATTTGAAATTCAAAAAAAAAAATAAATAAATAAACAAAAAATGAACAATTACACTTGCAGACAGTAATATATCTTCTTTTTTTCATACCTGTAAATTTATTGCTTGAAGACAGGGTTTCAGTTAATCCTGCAAGAAAATAGTGGCTTTTATTAGTTGTAAAATTCAATAAAGAAGCTCTTTAAAACAAATGATTATTGCATACAAGACAGCAGCGGTATTAATTTGCTTAATGGGGCTTGCTATACTATTAAATGCTGAAGCCATTTCTGGAGTGAAAAATATTACAGAAAATATTACTCAGGTTTTTGGTTATCTCATTTTAGACAAAATCATGTGAATTGCATAGCTGAACAACTATGTTACCATTAAAATGATAGCTATAAATTCAATGAGTATCCATAAAGTAGATCTGTATGGGGTTAAAACAAATCTCTGAATTATACTTTATCTTTCAATGAATATATTAAGAAGTATCTCTACTGTACCTGCACGTTTACTTTCAGCATTTGGAGGAATAGCTTGTTGAATTCCTGATGTTGAAGGTCTTAGAAAAACAGACAACTTGTTATTGAACATTAAAAGACATTTTATTAATTGTTTGAAATTGACATGTGACATGAAGAATTTATAAACATTATGAATCTTATGACACATTACTGTACCTGCATGCTCACTTTGATCATTTGAAAGAGTAACTTKCTGAATTGCTGATGTTGAAGGCCCTAGAAAAAGAGACAACTTGTAATTAAACATTACTGAAAGTTAATTGATTTAAATTTGAGTAAATTCATGAGCTTTTACACTAATTGGCATATCCCAATTCGGCAACATGCATGACCTTCTATTATATCACATAGAGGGATCTATAAATAAAGACATTATTTAACAGTGTTTTTTTTTTTACCAGTTTTTAGTCCTTTGTCTTTAGGACGAGCTGGGGAGGAAAAACTAGATTTTTAGATTCATTGCTATATTTATTAAGTGAAGTCAAGATAATAATACAGTACATACCTTTTTTGGGTTTTCGATCCATGTTTATTGTGTAGAGTGTTAAACAGCAAATCTGTATCATTATTACATTTCAATAGTTCAGGTTGGTTGATTAAATAAACAAGAACCTTGTATGAGGTTTAAACATTGATTTGAGTACATAATTAGCTCAATTAATAGTCATGTTATTATTTACATGTACTTTTTAAGTTAATATTGTAACAAACTGTATATTRTAAGAAATAATTTTTTTGCATTGTCTTGTTATATCAAATTTGAGAATTTGATCAAATTTGATAGCACTAAGTAAAGAAACTTGATCTCATAAACGTATTGAAAGTTTGACAGCATCATGATCTGAAAAATAAACACTAATTACAAAGTTTTGAACAATTGCAGAATGYAATGGGCACTTTACATAAACATGATCTAGCAAAGAACCAGACAGAAATGTTGCATTTTGTACAACTTGCACATAATTCTGTGTATTCATTATTGCTTTCAGACAATGAACTGTTTGGTCATCAAAGAAATCAATGTTAAAATCTCAAAATATGATATCAATCATATTATTCTCAAGTACAGAGCCAAGAGTATTGGCGAAATGATTGATGTGAATATTTTTCTTTTTGTACAATAATAGGCATGTCCAAACTTTCTCACCCGAATCAATTGACATCACAAATTTTAAAGCATTAAGCTCTGGAAAATATTGTTTATGCTCAAAAAAGGCATTTGGTTTAGTACAAACTKCCAAACTACAAAATTTATCAGAACTATGATCTTTTCTGTAAAGTGTCATTTGATTTAAATTTTTTCTTATTTCTTCATCAGTATCGTGGGGGAGAAAGTGAGTTTCTGTCAAAGCAATGACATCACAATCAAATATGTTCATATCAAACTTCAAGTCAATAGCATGTTTCCTAAGAGAGCGTATGTTAATATTGTTTATGCTCAAAAAAGGCATTTTTTGACACCTTTCTTAATATGAATTTTAAAATCTAGTCCGCCRGTTTCACTTCTTCCCTTTGATAATACTGACTCTATATCCTTTTCAGAAACATTTTGAGGATAGTGATCTATTGCTGTTAATACATAAAGTGGTGCATCAATTTCATCTAATTTCTTATTGTTATGAGCTGTAACAGGATTGTTTTCTGCCCAGATATGCAAAGCATCAGAAGGATAATCTTGATCAGATGGACTTATTAATCTAGTATTGACAGTTTGGATGTCCTCCTCAGTTTGAGAGCAAGTTCTAATTCTGTTTAAAAGTTCGATGAATGAGCTATCATTCTTTTGTCTCATGATTTCTGTTAATTCTACAAATAGAAATTGCATCCATGGATGAGACAAATTGTACAAATCATTTTTAAATTCTGCCAATTCTCCTTTATCATGCTTCCGCCATTTTGAAATTACGTCATGGAATTTTTGCATCAAAACGAGGCATTGCGTKGTTATCTCAGCTGGTCAATGAAGCGGACATGCCGAACAGGGATCATTGTTCAGTGCCTTTGTGTCAAAATAATCGATCAAAAAAGACACCTGGAGTGACCTTTCATACATTCCCCAAGGACAAAGCACTTAAGAAGCAATGGATTATCAAGATAAAGCGCGATATTGGTCGAAATTTTGCTGTAAGTTGTAAAAATCAATTGAAAATGAATTTTATCGATTAGCGGGCATTTTGGATTCAAATACTGTTTTGATTACAGATAAATGCTTCAACAAGAATATGCTCAAAGCATTTTCTGCCGTCACAATTAAAGAAGTCTTTGGGTGGAAAAACTTACTTGGAGAAGGGAGCAATCCCAAGTATTTTTCCATGGAGTGATGAAAGTAAAACACAAAGAAAGTCGCCAAAGAAACGTGTTACCAAGGATAAGCAACCACAAGCTGCTCCTGAAATTGAGATTGAAATACTCCACGAAACAGGTAATGCGAACTAACTTTTTTAATTGCCAATAGATTACTTTATTAAATGTGATTTTACAAATGTTTAGGTGATGATATTTTGGAGAAAACATATGAAGACCAACCAAAACAATCCGAATCAGCTAATGAAACATGTGTTTACACACCAACTGTTAACAACCATGACTACACTTGTGGATTACCACAACAATCTACAGAAGAAATGCTTGAAGCTGCACAAGAAAGAATCCGCTATCTAGAAAAATTGCTTGAAATAAAGAGTTTGTATATGAGGCTACAAGCAAAGTCTGATGCAGATATAAGATATTTTACTAGCTTCACTTCCTTTGAATTATTACTTGCTGTTTTTCAAGAACTTCAACCCTCAGCAGAGAAAATGTATACATGGTCACAAATACAGAGACCAAGTAAAAATAAACAAAATAGAATGAGCACTGAAGGTTTTCGAAATGAAATGAAAAACTGCAAGCTTACTTTATTTGAACAGTTCTGTTTATTTCTGTTTAAGCTACGTCAAGGCTTGCACAATAAGAAGTTAGCAGAAGATTTTGATATATCTGTCTCAAGTGTCAGCCGCATTTTTATTTCATGGACAAACTATTTGTATTTTGTATTGGGTTCTATGCCTATTTGGCCAACACGGGCAGCAATAGACAAGTTCATGCCATTATTTTTCAAGGAAATTTATCCAAA